CATATATGTGAGAGTGATAGCTCTAAAGACAAATGATTTTGAGAGCAGCAGATGAAGCTAGAATATAGAATGTTTCTTACGTCTCTTTAGAGACATTCTGTATTTTTCTCATGTGGTGTTCGATGTTCCACGGTTCTACTTACCACAATTCAGGCTGTGGTTATACAGTTCTAACTCTCATTTTACGTTCTCTCTTGGAAGCAGGTAAATCATTCGAATGTAGTTTGTCTGCCTAATGCTAAGCCTCGTCCTTCCATGAATTGAAATACTTGCTTTTCTGTTATGGCAATCAACGAGCTCACAAATTGTGAAGATTCCAACATTTCAGATGGTTGTTTCCACCTTACGTGCCTCTCAATTAGGCAAACAGTATGCCACTGGAGATCAGCCATCTATTTTTAACGTTCTTTCCCAGGAAAGCCTTATGACAGCTCTAAAGCCAGCCGTTGGGCACGTCATCAAGGTACATCCTTTCAGTAAAAGCTCGTAATTCTTGAAGGTGTTAATATAAGTGCTCAGTTCCTCGCTCTCGTGTACTCACATCGATTCCAAACGGCTCATCGATATTACGACGAATTGTACCTGCTATTTGATCTCTTGCTCCAAAATCAGTACCTCAAAAAGTATGGTTAGTCGCACTAATCCTTGTATCAATGTGTCTAGCTATTTCAAGTATCTCAGAAATTTCTAGGTGCATCATTTTCGGAGAATTTCTATGGTATGAAAAGGATAGTCAATTCAACGGGTGCGCCTCCAGTGGGATCCAGCGATCGCTTTCGTTCGCTTATTGTTTTAGTGAGTTTAGATATGAAGTTCGACGCATCTCAAAACTATATGAAATTTTCGCTGAAAGTTCAGCGAAAATGATGTCAATCTAAGCAATTTTTATAGTATTGGCCAATACTCATTGAAGAGAATATCCCTTGTAATTCCTAAATGATATATAATTGTTACATGTGAGACGTATGTACAGTATACATACTAGGAGTTTCGATACAGGGACGGATACAGAGACTGGCACTTCTAGGTACTGTGGCCATATGTTCGGGACAAGTTTGACAAATGGCATGAGACTGGGATTGACAGAGTTCGAGCGGCTCGCGTTACTACAGCAGTAGGCATATTATATTGATACCCATTATGGCATTGAAGCTGAAGCTTGAATGAGTTGGTTGGCTACAGTTGTGCTAATGAGCAGCTCTGTCATTTCTAGGACATTCGCATAAAAGTCGCTCGATTATTCGTTCGGCTCTGGCCTATCATCAAATCGCTTCTCACGTTTGCGACCATGCTACTTCAGCTGCTGTACGTGAAGTTTGTTTACGATACAATATCGATCCAGAAAAATATTTAGGTACATTATAAACTGTTCTTCCGTACATTCTCCATTCCTCTGGCTAGCCGGTGTTCGCTTAGAAAAGTTAACGGCTCAAGATATGGCGGCTTTCGAGCACATTCCTCTTCACTTGCAAGGATCAGGGTTAGTGGGAAAGCGAACATCTGCAAAAGTTGAGCGCAAAAGACGCCAAAAACTTCAAGGCGATTTGTAATTCTCTATCTTCCAGTTCCATACTTTGTACTTGTAGAATCCTCAACCGACTGTGGCGTTTCCTCCTCGCTTTCCCAGGCGTATTTTCGCGATTGTTTGGATACTGTCTATTCTTTATCCAATTCGTTGACTTTATGTACAATAGCGAATTCGGCTCACAGCTTATCCGGAAAAATCCACGTGGTCACGCACCTTCCGCTCCTCATAAGGTTTGTACTGTGTATGTGCCATCCATGTACTACCAAGATACTTCAGCTCTTGACTGAATCGAGTGTTTTAATGCTGGACACGAACAAATGTCCACTTTGTATGAGGAAAAGAACAAATGATACAGCGCTATCAGTGTCCGGCTATGTGTTCTGCTATTCTTGTATATATGATCATGTCAACCAGTTCAAAACGTGAGTAGCTGGATAAAGAAGCCGTTTGCCAATTTACCCATTGCAGGTGTCCAGTGACGGGATTGCCGGCTACCGTGAATGAGCTGATTCGGCTGTACATACACTAATGCATGTAGCTTCTACCGAATGAATATTTTCCTTTACATGTGTGCAATAACATAAAAATCCCAATTTATCAACCTCTTGAAGCAGTATATTAAAGAACGGTTCGCTAATTTGCAGGTGGTATACGGTAATTTTTACACATTGGTGGTTTTGGGAAATCTT